TGTATTATGTGTTACTTTTAATGTTGTACGCCACCCTGAGTCCTTGGGAGAAGGGTGGCATATAAATCTAATAAACCTAAACCTAAAACATCTCCACGGTCCCAAAATTAAAAGTTGAATTTCACCAGATTCAATAAGCGGGATCTGATTGCTTTTCCTTAAAAAAAACTTTCCGTGGAAGCCCGTTGCTACATTTGAAGGAATTCCCCCTCCCTTCTTTTCTTAGTCCCCGCACAAACCCTATCAAGTTCACCCAGGTTTCCCCGGAGCAGAGTTGTTGTTGTTGTTGTTGTTTTAAAAAAAAACCTGTTCTAGATTGTGCAATCAACTTAGCAATGACAAGCGTGGGAAAACATCCTTTCTCTACTGATGCATTTTCCTTGAAACATGTTTTTTTTTAGGCTTTTTGGTATTAATGCAGGGTGTGTGTGCAGTGGCCGCTTTTTCCCCACCCAAACTACGCAGAATACCACCCTGCATTATTAAGAATCAGCCAGCCAGCCTGTTCTCTTACAATATCCTCTTTTGCTTTAATCATCCTTATTGTTATTATTTTTTGGTAGGAATTTCCCTGCGTTCAGTACACCCACAGTCTCTAGGAAGTCTGGCTCCAGGGTCAGTAGGATGTTTTCAATGTCTCATAAATCCCCTCCACCCAAGGTGCCCCAGCCAGAGAGACTCGATGAAGTGTACGAAGCATTGAAGAAAGGCCTAAGGTAAGCTTCACTCCACCTGTGACATGCGGTGATACCTGTTCATCGATTCACAAACATCTAAGCTTGCTTTTCTAACCTATGTTGGTACCGTACCGTCCATTTTCCCGTACCGGAGGAGGTTTGTGAGGAGTAACTGTGAAAAGGGGAGTGTCTTCAGCAGGACCTGGAGAACCATTTGGGTCTAATGCAGGGGTCTCCACACTTGGCAACTTTTAAGACTCGTGGACTTCGACTCCCAGAATTCCTCAGCCAGCCACGGGAATTCTGGGAGTTCAGGTCAACAAGTTTTAAAGTTGCCACGTTTGGAGACCCTTGATCTAGTGCAGGGGTCAGCATTCCATGGCTCTGGAGCCGCATGTGGCTCTTTTATCCCTCTGCTGCGGCTCCCTGTCGCCANATCGGCCTGGCAGCTCTCCAAGCCAGATAAGGTCTGTGACTGTAAATCCTCCCTTGAAAGACTTTGCCGGATATGAATGAGCAGAATTCACAGCAGATTAATAAAAGGGGTTTTTGTCGGGACAAGGAGTTTGCTTCATGCTCTCGGGAAGCCTCGGTCAGAACACTTAAAGTGAACCTGGGTCTCTCTCCCGGGTCACAGCTGTAGCTGCATTATCCGACACCCGGTCTTTCTAACCCACACTGGTCCAGATGTCTCTCACCCCATTGTGATGATGACAATGATGTTATCCCTTCAGTTGTGTCTGACGCTTGCCGATTCTATTGGCCAGTTTTCTTCCGACCTTACACTAATTCTTTGAGTTGTTCTGCGCTCTGTCTGCTGTCAGTTTTGACAATGTACAGCTATCGTCTTCTTTGGCGGGCTGGTAGCCTGGTTTCCTTTTACCGCTAACTCTTCCCGATATAATTGCTTTCTCCAGTAAATTCCCCCTGCCAGACATGGCCCAAATAAGTGTGAGGCAATTTTGTGATTTTGCTCTTCACTGACATGTCTGCCGTGATCCGCTCCAGTACTTTTTAATTAGTCACCTTAAGAATTGGTAACTACTTCCTCTGGACCTGGAGTTTCACTCCAGCAGTGATTCCCAACATGGGGCCCACGCCCCACAGGGAGTCAATTTGATTCTTGTTTAAACCAAGTGAATGGCCTTTTAGGCTTCCTCCGTGTGAATGGAGTTTACTTTCTGAGTAAAATAAGAATTATATGTCACGGGGAGGGGGAGGCATCAGGATTTTAGAGATGCTTAGGTGGGGCTTGGCCCAAAAAAGGTTGGGAACCATTGCACCATCTCTTGATTTAACTATCTCCACCCTTCAGCCCTCTCTGGCCCAGATAGCAATGCTCTTTTTTTTTAAATAAAGGAATGACAGTTTGAGAAAGGAATATGTGGCATGGAGAGGCTTATCTCTTTGCTCCTGACCCAAAGTGATTTCCTTTGTTCATTTCGGAACTTTAGGATTCCTTGCAAAACTAGGAAAAAGGATCCAAGCCCTTGGTTTGAAATGCAAAAAAGTACCTAGTCCTTATGGCTACAGGCCACCCTCTCAAAATCCTGAAAATATGCAGTTGGTGCCGGCCAGAGTTGTCGGAGGTACAGTTTGACAGGCGATGATGTCTAAGTTATGTGTATTTGTGTACATGCAATGTGCATATTATTGACTCATCCGACAGAATAATAATCATGACTAAAATTACATGGGTGCGTTTTCCTAAAAATGCCAGAAAATTGGATTGTGCAGAGAGGTTGTGACAGCACAGGGGAAACGATGGACTTTGTTTGCTTCCTAACAATTATAACCTGGAGGTACAGGGACGCGGTGGCTCAGTGGCTAAGACGCTGAGTTTTTCGATCAGAAAGGTCGGCAGTTCGGCGGTTCGAATCCCTAGAATCGCATAACGGAGTGAGCTCCCATGACTTGTCCCAGCTTCTGCCAAACTAGCAGCTCGAAAGCACATAAAAAGTGCAAGTAGAAAAATAGGGACCACCTTTGATGAGAAGGTAACAGCATTCCATGCGCCTTCGGTGCTTAGTCATGCCAGCCACATGACCACGGAGACGTCTTAGGACAGCGCTGGCTCTTCAGCTTTGAAACAGAGATGAGCACTGTCCCCTACAGTCGGGAACGACTAGCACATATGTGCAAGGAGAACCTTTACCTTTATCTTTTTACATGTACTTCTCTAGGTCATGCTAAACAGTCTTTCAAGCCTCCCTCACCATGGGTCATGTTGGGGATACTGGGGATTGCAGTATTATCTGAAAGGCAGTAAGTTGCCTATACAGGATCAGCGGTAATCTTTGCAATGGGAGATGGACGGTGCAATGCAGAGCCTTAAAAGCATCGGCTGTTGTGCAGGGGAGCCCTTCAGGTCCACACAGCTGGAGAAGTTTTACGTGGTGTTCTCATTTTACTGAAAGAAAGGAAGCGCAACAGAGCAAAACCGGGATTCCACAACTGAACAGGGACTGCGGTTCAGCTTTCTCCGCTCCAAATGGTTGACCTTAGGACTGTGAAGCGCCTGGAGGAAGACGACTCCTTCAAGACGAGATTCAGCAAACCAGCAGAGCCGGAAGAAGGTGGTGTAACTTAAGCTTGGTGCGGCAGGAAGAGCAAGCATCGCAGGCGCCTTCACTCTGCCGGCCTCCTGTTGACGCCCCAACTTCCTCCGATTGTTCAGTTTGCTTGCTAGGACTTAATCAGGCAGGAGAGGGTGGGGGGAGAAGCCCCTCTTTAAAAAACAAAACCTCACCTACCCTCTGCTAAAAGGGAGACCAGCCTTTCCTCCCAACCCATTCCCTTGTTTCATTCTCACACGCCCCCACAGTTTGTGATCTTATCACTCCCGCCGGCTGGTTTAATTGACCGGATGGCAGGAACTCACAATTCACCTTTGCATCAGTTTCTCTCCTGCCTTTCGATCCCCGCCGTGGTCGAATGGCTGAAAAACGATGATGGAACTAGCAGAGAGGGCTAAATTGACTATTTTTTAATCCAAAGGGGGGGGGGGCAATAAGTACTTTTGTATCTACTTGGAAACCACTTCTGGACTTTGTGCTTGAGGTGGTGGTGGTGGGAATGAAACGTTGATTTAGGTTTTTACCTATTAGAAAGACTGGTTGTTATAGAAATGGATAGTTCGTACTATCACGTAAAAGTAAAAAGTTGAGGTTTGTTGTTACTGTTTTATTCTACTTCACCAGAGGAAGTCGGAAGTCAATGCCTTTTCCTTCTTTCCCTCCTCCTTTTCTACACTCCTCCTTTCCCCTTTCCCTCCCTTATTTTTCCAACTATTTGCTTTTGTATTTTTGTACTTTAGATTATAAACCAATTAAAAACTCTGAAAAAAAGAGTTTCTCTTCTGCCACAATCTGGGTTTCTTTCATTTCGGTGGAAGCCCGGAAACCGGGCAAGGGGGAGATTGAAATGAGAGCTCATGACCACTGAAGAAGAATAAGAAGAATAAGTCATTCCTCCAGAATCTGTTTTCTTTCTGCTAGGCCCATTGTCAGCCATCCAGGCACGTCCGACTCTAGGCCACTAGGGTCAACACTCTTCATGCCCCCCTGTCTCTCGCTGCCCCCTTCAGATCCACTATGGCAGGAGTATCAAACTCAAGGCCCTCAGGCCGGCCCCAGCCCCTAGGATACTTAGATCTGGCTTGCAGGGCACCACCTTGGAAACCGTGGGGGATCCGGCCCACAGTGCCTCTGCGAGTGAAAACAGAACTCGGGAGGACTGCACACAGACGGTTGCAAGAGGCTGTCGCAGTCAGAAACAGAGCTCAGGAACCCCTGAGTGATGTCTAACTGGCCACACCCACTCCTGAACCACCACCCCCCCAACCTCAAACACAACCCTGATGCGGCCCTCAATGACACTCCTGTACCATGGGCATCCCGGTTGTCAGCGTTCCAAATACCATGCAGAATTAAATCAGAGTCGTAGGCAAAACTATGCTTAAAGTTCCAATTTAATAAGACAGGCATGTTGGCATCATACTGTGGGATTCCAACTCTGGAAATTACATCAGAATCCCACCCAGTTAAAGTTCATGATCTTGTCCCCACACCCCAGTCAATCACATGGTCCAATCTTCTTCTTCCACGCTGGCGTCTACGCCCAACTGCTTCCNGGTGTCAAAACAGGCGAGGGATGGTAAACGAAGCAACCCAAATGGTATGTTTATAACCCTGTTAAATGGAATGACAAAGGTATAAGAACGACGAATGTAAAAAAGAATAATAACTATGTCGTCGTATGCCTAGAATTGTAAATAGAGAACAAAAAAAATGTTAAAAAACTTTTCAAAAAAACCCTGCAAGGACTTGTCCAGCTGGTTGCCAGGAGTCAACATTGACTCGAAGGCAATTCAGCTTTGTGTACATGCAGTTGACACAGATTCCCCCCCCCCCTCCAACCTAAAGTTCAACTTGTAGATCAAGAGTGCGGATAGCGCGGTGGGAATCGACGGAAAGGAAATATTCGGTTCTCGGCTTTTACTGCCAAGGATAACATCCTGCACGAACGATCCCTTGAATTGGGGAGCCAGGCTGCTGCTGTCTCTAATCTTCCAAACGATTGCAGGGGAGTGTTATTCTGCGTTCCGTGCTCAGTCCCTTCCACCTCTCCTTCCTTCTTTGCAGTGCTTACCTGGAAGTGCACCAGCAGGAACTGGAGAAGCTGAGCATCCAGATCCGTGAATCCAAGAGGAATTCTCGCTTGGTGAGTGGCGCAGTAGCTGTCGGGACACTGCCCGGCTCTGATGGACGGAAGACTTTCCCTGCAAATTGTAAGGGTTCAATGGAGAGTCTCCAGTCCTCAGTCGTGCAGATAGGCTGACCTTCCAGTCAGTTCTGTGGACCAGATGGCGATGGTGTTACATGTCTGGTTTGCATGCATTTTAATGTTCTGACCTAGGCTTCCCCAAATCACGAAGCAGACTCCTTGCCCCGACAAAACCCCTCTTTATTAAGCTCATGTCAATTCCTCTCATTCACATCCAGAAAAGTCCCGGCAAACAGTCTTTCAAGGGTGGATTTACAATCACAGAGCTTATCAGCCTTGGAGAGTTGCCAGGCTGATATCTTCCAAACACAACTGCTGTACAAGAAAATACTTGGCAAGGAGTCTCTGAGAGTCATGAACAAATCTTCACACTAATTAAATAAATTAATTGTCTCCTGCAAACTCCACTCCCCTTTTGCTCCTCTTTATTCCCTATGGGAGGGGCCATTCACCGTCCACCTGTGCCTTTTCTCCCAAGTCGGCCCTTGTTCCTTAAGTCTTCCCTTCTCCTGGCAACTCTGTGCATGCA